TTTGGCGATCTCACAATCGCTAGTTTGCTCTGCGCTTCCGTAGCGCAAAGATGTCTGCCTCCATGGCTGCGAGACCCGCTCCTATGTAATTATAAATAACGAATTCTAAGGCAACGCAAATATTAAGGTTAAGAGGCTGAGCTCGTAGATGATGATAAATAACAGTTATGTATAATATATTACATTTCTGACTGTATATCCCTGTAATTATTACACACTGTAGCTTTAAAGAGAGGAACAGCAAAGCCATTTAGATCTCAAGCCTTTTTTTTAGTCTTGCTGCCTTTTATGCTTGCAATCGTACCAAAATTACCATATTTTCGCAACTATAAGGCGCATATAAACGTCTTTTTTTCCCCTTAAAACGTGCGGCGCGCCCTATAGTGCGGTGCGCTCTATGCGTGTTGTTACTGCGGACGTTGTGAGACCACCATGAGAACGTTAAAGGGGGAAGTGTGGGCGTTGATTGTGTATAAAAGAACATGTATGTGCTTTATGCAGAACTCCTCATCTCCTCATGGAGGAGATGATGAAAGCGTGGCTGAGGGAGGTGAATGTAAGGAGACCAGGTGTTTTTTTTCCACGCATCACCATTGCTGTGACTCCATGCATGCCCATCTCACAGCCGATGTGAAAAACAAGGTGAAACAAATAAACGCTGTGCTTGCTGTTATTCCGGGAGGTCTGACAAAGGAACTTCAACCGCTTGACATCGGTGTGAACCGGCCGTTCAAAGTAATGCTGCTTTCACACCGGATGCAGCAAGAGCAGCAAAATCGCGTCTGCTGCTTCATTTTTGCTGCTTGTATCAGTTAGTTCTGACGCGTGGCTGAAGCAGCTTTGCTGCTCTGGCTGTGCGGTGCAAAGGTGTGTCTGACACGCGTTGGGCGGAGTTTCACTATCCTTTCTCTGCCTTACAGCTATATTTGCTGTGATCAGTGGGAATAAAGTAGTTTTAATATGTTTTTAAGTGAGAAAGTCCACCTGAAAACTTCATCACTGCAGTCAGTTCATCCAGATTACAATCCTGCCTTCCAATATTAGTTCTGTCAGAGCCACTCAGTCCCCAACATACCAGCAGTGCGCTGTCAGTAGGAATCCCTTCAACAGGAGCCTCTGGTCGGGTCGCCTCCTCGCGGTTCACCGCGGCAGCTGGTACCGTATTTTCACGACTATAAGGCGCACTTAAT